GAGAAGTATTTAGATGTCTATTCTTTCTCATAAGCAGAATCTGCCTGCCATGTGACCCTAAAATCATTGTAGGAGACCCCACAAGCCCCATCTCCTGTAAATACTGGTTCCTACCTCATAATGTCCCTGTAGTAACCACACTCAACAACAGGTTGGGTAGGTGTGCTGAGTACAACCTATGGACTGCCTTAAGAACCTACCTTTTTCTCCCTCTCTTTTAGATGTTCACCTCCACAATATTTGCTGTGATTGGATTCTTGGGTGCTGGATATTCATTTGTCATCTCAGCTGTCTCCATCAACAAGGGTCCTAAATGTCTCATGGTCAATAGCACATGGGGCTACCCCTTCCACAACGGGTAGAGTATACTCTGCAATGTCATTTGTCACCACAAGGGGCACGGGCAGGTAAATGGCCCAGGGGGAAAAACTGCACTTGCCCTGTCATCTTTATTTTACAAGTATCTGGCATGTTGCTCCTTTGAGCAGGGCTGGAGTTATAGAGTGGAGTGAAGTTGCAATACATCTCACCTCTAATTGCTCTTGATAGAGACCAAGAGAAATAATAAAAGAGGGCACCACAACTGGTTTGAGGGAAGGAAATAGGTGGTATCTCCACTCAAATCCAAAATTTATCAGCAGACACGTGAGACAACTAATAATATTAACAAACAGAGAGTAGTGGCTTCCATTGCAAAGCCGCCAACTTTTAAAAATAGAATTCACTAAAAGTCTCTTAGAACCTTACTTCTTTTTCAAAACTTAAAAATTAAGAACTCCTGGGTCTGCGTTTAAGCACAACAAAGGCCTACACCGGGCCAGGTTGAGCCCTTTGTTTAGGGCTCCTACCCTAAACAAAGCCTCTAACAGCCATTGAGTCCATGTCCCTGCTGTATTTTATTTATTTTTTTATTTTTTGAGGAATTTTTAAGAGACTTCCTATAGTTCCTCTTTTTTAAAATTAATTAATTCAGTTATTATTTTTTTAATTGAAGAAATGATTTAAATTCTCCCCCCCAATCTACCTCCTCCCTCCCCTCCTACCCTCTGATAACTACTAGTCTATTGTCCATGTCATATCAGAAAACGAGAATAATTACTCACTAACAAGGCTTAAAGGCTCTCACTAATATCCTGAACGGTCTATAACTAAAAGACTTTTTTAAGGTGCAAATGACATTGGAAACACTAGATTCTTCATGAGAGTTAATGTTAACAGATCTCATTAAAATAACACTTCAAATTTTCATGATATTTTGTAGTTTATAAAGACATTTTTTTCACAAATTTATAATTTAATCTCCATAGCAACCCCAAGAGGAAGCTGCTCCTTGCCAAGGCAGGCTTATCCAGTTTAACTTGCTCAAAGTCACACTGCTGGTTGAGGGCAGAGGCAGGTCTCAAATTCATACATCCTGACTTCCAGTCTCAGCCTTTTTGCATTACACATCCTCTCCCTCTGGACTGCACTGTCCAATACAGTGGCCAGTAGCTTTATGTAGATATTTAAATTTAAATTCATTTAAATGAAATAAAGTTAAAAATTCCTCAGTCACATTAGCCTTATTTCAAGCACTCGATGGCCACAGATGGCTAGTAGTGACTGTATTGAATGTTACAGACTTAGGACATTCCCCTCGTCACAGACAGTCTATTAGATAGTGCTATGTAGACTCTAACCTCTACAAGGCCTGGGACTGTTCCATTTTGTTCACCATGGCAGCCCATCCACCGAGCACAGTGACTGACAACTAGAGGATCAGGGTATATGGTTTTTGGGTCCTGCTGCACATGAATGATGGGTCTATGACTAGAAAATCTATAGGACACCAATGTATGAACTCAAATCCCTATTACTACTTTACAGTGAGAGTCCGAAGAACCTCAGAGTGGACTTCAGATGGGAAAGATGGCAGTACTCGTTCTGTTATGATCTGAGGTCTCGGTTTGTTCACAGTGTTTCATATATAATATCATTTCTACCTTACTCTATAGTGAAACAGGAGTATAAGACCTCTAATATCCTCATATAGCGTGCAGTGATTTCAAAATTATTTTACTGTGAAAAGCCTTCTCATCTTACAGAAGACAGTTGGGGCTCCACTGCCCTGTGAAGCGTGTACTCCTGTTTAACTGTAGAGTAGGGTACAAGTGATATTCATCAGCGCAGCATTAAACATGTTTTTTTGGTTGTTGTTTATTCTATTACGTGAATACTATCCTTGATTAACTTAAAATCAATTAGATTAATTTTATGTCCAAAACGACAGAAGGAGAAAGGGAACACAACAGATGTCAAGTAACATTCCAAAGCAGTACAATGGTCTTATACATCTGGCATTGAGGGCCTAACACCTCCCCTGACACACTCACACCCTGCTTGTGGTGCTATGGAACTAATGGCCAAGGTCAGGAGAGTGACAGCTGGTCTGTGAGCCAGTACAGGAAATGTGAGCTTGGGGCAAGGACGGGAAATCACTTTTCAAAGTACTCTGTGCTAGTCCTTCTGGAGAAGCAAGTTTTCATTTACATCACAATCATGTATTGTACATTACTCTCTGATAAACATTGTCACATATGTTATTTTATCTACTCCTCACAAGTAATCCATCCTTTAATGGATATCAGATTAGAGAGGTTTAATAATAAAAGCAGAATAAACTTTTCAGACAAGTGGAAACATTTCGGAATTTTTCATATTTCCGTTCGCTTCATGGCTTTGATAAGGCTCTGAAGAAGGAAAGGTTTAAATACCTAGACATCTGCATAGTAGCTTTAAATTATCATATGATTTAAAATTGGTATGTAAGGTCGTATCATAAACCATATATATCACACTTCCTAGGCAATTGATAGGGTAAGGATAATTTTGACTATTTATGCGTTTTTCTGTTCATCCTGACTTTAGAATTTAATCCCAGGTAAGATGCAAGTCCATTCTCTGTGCAAGGAATGAAATATGGCACAATTGGTACAAGAAAGGCTTTCAGGAGGATGGATCCAGGCAGAGTGCATATCACTGCATCCTCTGCCACCTACCATAGTTTTCTCAGTGTTCCATTGTCCCCTATGTCCTGTGACTTAGCCTCTGAGACAAGAACTCATATTCCTTTTTTGACCTTTTTCTCCCACTGCCAGCTCCAAACCTTCCCTTGGAATGCAGACACCCATCCTGAGTTATATATAACAATAATTGAATCTTCTGTTGCTTAGTGTTTTTCAGTTAACAAAGTGCTTTCACCCACAGTGTTTCATTTGTTCCTCCCCAAAAAGTTTATGAGATTATCAACTCAGCTACAGAGGACATAACTGAAACCCAGAGAGAACAGTGACTTTCTGAAAAGAATGCTGTTTATTAATGACTGAAGTTGAATCTAAGTTTTCTGACTCCAAGTCACAGCACTTTATCTTGAACACAATTTATATTGATTCACACTATCTGCTTTTAGTATAGATTCCACCTAGCAAAGCTCAGGAGCCTCCTATCTCCAGTCCTTTTTACTATGCCATGGACTCTTCTTATCTATCAGATCCCAATGTGTAAGCATTGCAGCAGTTATCACTGTCACTGCAAACCTAACACACGTACACAGCTACTTAGGAGGTAGAAAAGATAAATCACTTGTATGAGCCCAAACAGAAGTGCTCAAGACAGTTTGCCCCTCTCCCCTTGTCACTAAATGGCAGGAGAGGCAGCTGCTTCTCCCTCCTCCACCTTTTCCTGTTAATGATCAAGGGCTATGTATTTTGCATATATTAATCTTACTTAATCTTCCTAATAAATTTGAGAATTCCTATCCCCAAACTAGAAAAATGAAGGTCAAAAGGTTAATTTGCTGAGGGTTCCCCAGCTAGTAAGTAATAGAAGGAGTATTAAAAAACAAACAAAATAAAAACACTTGACAGTACCCTACTTTGTGTAGAAACTTCTCCCAAACATGGAGCAAAGGAGGACATACATGGTCCCTGTCCTTGTGAGCACATGTTTAGTTAGGGTGACAACACAAGCCAGACCCTCACGATGCAGAAAGGGATGAAATGGAGAAATGCAAGGGAAATTTCATTAAGGGGATGATATGGGCTGGTTTTGGAAGATGAGCAAAGATGAAGGGAAACACATTTCAGGTAGAGAGAAGAGTAAGCCCTGAGGCAACTAAGAAAAGGCCCAACATGGTCAGAGAATGTCAGTTTACTGTGCAGCCGGAAGCTCAGGGTGAATGTGGGGGAGAGGCAAAGAAGGGGGCACCATGTGAGGCAGATGACTGAGGGGCAGGCCAGACCCTCAGAACACCAGGAGACAGCAGAGGCTTCAGGCAGAACACAATGTGAACTCCTGGAAGTTTCCGAAACATTACGTTGGTGGCAACATGGAAGATGAACAGAAGGGCTCAGTAACTTGAGAGAGAACATAGAAATAGGAGGTTGGAGTCACAATCCAGATGAGATCATGAGCATCCACAAGGCAATACAACTGGGCTCAAAAGAAGGAAACAAATTTCAGAGACTATCTGAGATGGAATCATCAGGATTAGCTGTGAGAGAAAAGGGGGAAAGTGATCAAGGTGGATTCTGAGATTTCCAGCTTGGGGCACAAAATCCAGGGCTCTTCAATGATGTAGTATTTAACACTGTTTTCCTCAAAAATGTTTGTTGGTGATCATATTAAAGGAGCAAAGATAATTAACTCTTTTGGTCATGAGAACTATACTAAAGAAGCATCCCAGAAGGAAAAGGAACCTGGGACATTTTGAGATATATCTTCTTGGCTTAATTTGAAGTAGGATCTCCTCCCACTCAAGGTCTTCCTCTCTAAGACAATTGGCCACCTCTGCCTTGACCCTGAGCTGACGAAAGGGAAGCAGCTGGCACAGGGCATGGAGACAGCTGTGGGGAAGGGGATAGGGAACCAGAGGAAAGGCCAAGGACATTCAGCAGTGCGGGAAGAACAAAGGACATAGCCAAGCACAGTACTCCCTCGTCAGGCTGCAACCCTGCTTGCTCCCTGGGAAAGTGGTGAAGAGAGTACTCTCCCATCAAGACACAGAACTGAATTCAATTAATGATCTCTCTGGACTTTCAGTTAACATTATCTGCATTTGCACTTCAAAGATTACTTAACAGCAAGAAACCCCAAGCTTCTTCTGAACACACTCCCTAGAGCTGAAAGCACATCCATCAGTAGTGGGACAAAGGATCATACAACGTGTTCGCAGCTGTCACAAAACAAGAAACTACCACAAATGTTAAGAACTGGCTTTGTCCTTGTCTTTACAGGACTTAAGGTAGTCATACACCTGCCACATAACAATGGTGAATAATGTACAATGGATTCATCTCTCAGCTCTTTCTCTGTGAAATG